TGTGTGTGTGTGTGTGAGAGAGAGAGAGAGAGAGAGAGGAAGAAGAAGAAGAAGAAGAAGATTGTTAGGAAGGCTCCTTGTTGGCCTCGTTGATTCCTTACATGAATGGTCGCTCCTGTTCGAAATGAGGAAGTTTGGGAGTTGTGTTGAGCAAGTTCTGCTGTATTTTTGGCCATCTATCGTACTCTGCAAATAAAGTTGGTTGGCTGCTTTTTGAATTTTGTTGCCAATTCTGTGCTGGTGATGAATTGTAATCCCATAGGTTTGTTGGCGTTGGTGCTGCTAAGTTGTCATTGTGTTCTTCGTCCTTCTCACATTCGTGTCAGTTATTGAGGCAATTCCCTCCAAGTTCTTCTCATGGAGTTTTTTTCCCCGTCACCTCTTGTGTGTTTGGCGCTTTCTTGGAAATGGTTTGTTTTTTTGTTTTTTCCTCAAATCTTTCTCTGTCGTCCCTGAGAACGTCCTTGTTTTCGTGCTTGTCCTCCAATCATCTTTCTGTGTTTCTGCTTCCAGTGGCGGTTGCCAGCAACATGAAGAAAATGGGCCTATCTCCACTACGCACAACATGCACAAAAGACAAAATATGATGGCGTATCTTCCCATGTTCTAGGGAAGATTCATTCACATTTCCCATGTCAATCCTTGCTATGTCTGGGCCTGGTGAAGCCGGAACTTTGCTCTTGTCTCTGCACTCATGCTCACTTCCTTTTTTTTTTCTTTTTTTTTCTTTTTTTTCTTTTTTTTTTACTCATGCTCACTTCCTTTTCTCCTTTTTTTTTTTCTTTTTTTTTTTAAGAACAACCCAGGTGGATGCTAGGGGTGCTGATAAGAGCAGACACCACTACCATTCCCGGGGAGGCTCCTCCTATTGGTGGGGAGCAGCACGTATGCTCACTTCCATGTTTGTTTGTCTTGTTTGTCCTGTTCTGTGTTTCTCGTGCGCTGCCATCGCCAGTGCGGTAGTTCTTCATAATGCCAGCACGAGGTTCTCTGATGGATACAGATTTGGGTTAGGTGCAGAGGTAAGATCCGCCACTACACTATGCATTTCAACAATTGAAAAGGGGGGGGGGGGGGAAGATCCGCTGCCAAGCGGCAGCTCCTGGTGGGCGACGATTGTCTTTTGTACGGAAATCTGGGGGTCGGAATCAGATGGTAAGGGCCTAGTTGCACCACTCTCCATATGTCAAGATTTTGAATGCATCTGGACAGCAGCGCTGTCCAGGTTTAGTCAAAATCTCGGCAGATGGCGAGTGGTGCAACTAGGCGTTAAACCACTAGTGCCTTTGCCGCTTCAGAAATGAGGGAAAACGCCCGGTCCCGAAGAATTCGGAGACCGGGCCGGACGACTGCTGCCATTGATAAATCTGTTTGGGGGTCGTCGTTTCGTTTCGTTCTCCTGAAAACGAGAAAGGCACTAATGGTTTAAGAATAAACTTAAAACCGCCAGTACACGACCCCAGCCTTGTAGAAGATTATGAGTAGCCAACTTGGGAATTTTTGGGGTCTGGGGCCATGGGACCACAATGGCTGGCAGCGCCAGCCAAAAAAGGTCATAACGACCACTCTGGAGGTGTATTGGTGGTTTAAGTCAAGTAGTCCAATCAACCAGCAAAATAATATCAGCCGTTGGATGCATATGATCAGTGTTCTATGGTGTACTTACCGGAACAACCTCGATAAGGTTGCAATTTGCAATAAAGTCCCAAAGACCTATGATGGTAATAAACATGGTTAACCCGATTAACATAACAAAAGCGTAATGGTACACAAAACCACTTATTTGCTATGAATGCTGTGCTCTCCCGGCAGAGTTTTGAGCTTTAGCCAGCATCAGAAATCTGGTTGTGGAGAGGCCGCGCCCTCTGCTGTTGATTCGGGACTGCTGCGCTTTTTTCAGTTCTTGGCTGGGGTTGTTTCCCTCCCCACCCACCATGGTTATTTTACCGATTAATTGTGTGGCTCCGTCTTGGCCCGTTTCCCTCCCCGCCTACTACTGCCAGCATGTTATTGACTAATTCTGTGGCTCCATCTCAGCTCTGATGTACTTTCTTTCTTTTTTTGTCTTTAAACTTTAAAGTTTAAAGTTTAAAATAAGAGAGCAAGGTCCTTCTTACTCGATCGGGCCCTTTGTTTTTCAACTCTTGAGATCTTTGTGTAAATTGCATGGGCCAGAATGAATTATCTGGGCTAGGCAATCGCTAACATGCCTTCGGCCTCGGTATATCGGGATTTCACACCGAAAGCATTCATGCCCGGTCTGCGCTTGATAATTATTTTTTAATAATTATTTTTGTAGTTTGTAGCACTTCGTACTGCTCTCTAGTTGTTTACATGCTCATTTTGTCAGCGCGCTGTATATATAGTTGTAAAAAATCTTTAAAAAGAACAAAAAAGAAAAGGCACACTTCCTGTAGAAAAGGAAGAGGACTGACTGATGGTTTTGAGATTTCTTCTCTCGCGGTTTGCAGGTGGGCGTAAGCACCAGCAGAATCCATGCAAGAGGACCCGTCGGAGTGGAGGGCCTGCTGACAACTAGATGGTAAGTGTTGTGTTTAGAATTTTTTTGAAAAAAAATATAATCTCTTGATGTCGTTAGTTTTAGAATTTGTGGTGTGATTAGTTTCTTGGATTGCATTGAACAAAGAAGCCACAAATGACTTGCATCTCTTCTGGTTTCTCCGTTTTCTCTTCCTGTTTTCCTTTTCCTTTTCCTTTTCTTGTGCTCTTGGCCTCTTTTGAAAGAGGCCAAGAATGTTTGTTTGTTTTTTTTCGGGGGGGCGGGGAGGCCAACAATGTTTTCCATAGATCTGCCAACTTTGAAATTGAACAAATTACGAGTTGCGGAGAATGCTTCTCAGTTCGTGGCTTATGATGCATACACAGACACCTCTCTCTGTTCGGATGTGCTTCGAAAACTGCTGCTCCATTGTTCTACCTTCTCCCAAATAGGTTATTTCAGATAATATTTCTGTATTTGGGGCAACCTTTAGTCTAGTTATTATTCTAGCATTAACGACTGCAATGTGTACTTTCTGTTCAGTTGAAGATGGGAGTTATAGCGTTAATGGCCACAATGTGTACGCTCTGCTCGGCCGAAGCCGGGAGCAATTAATGTACGTGGTTTTATCGGCCAAACCAACAGCAGTGTGCACAAGGCATTTCCATAAAAGCAAGATAAGCCGAAGTCCGCCTCCAGTTAGTCCATATGGCATATCCTCTCCAATTTATTTCAAAGTTCAAACACTGACATCTTTATGGGTCTGAGTAGTTGTTTCCCCTCTTTGATCATCAATCCGAGTGGTTGTGTCGCCTCTTTCATCATCGATCTGATTCGTTGTTTCGCCTCTTATATCATATCCATCTGATTGGCTGTTTCCCCTCTTCCATCATCTTCCATCATCAATCCGAATGGTCCTATCATCCATCGGATTGGTTGTTTGCCCTCTTCTATCATTCATCAGATTGGTTGTTCGCCCTCTTCTATCATCCATCCGATTGGTTGTTTGCCCTCTTGTATCATCCATCCGATTGGTTGTTTGCCCTCTTGTATCATCCATCCGATTGGTTGTTTGCACTCTTCTATCATCCATCTGATTGGTTGTTTGCCCTCTTCTATCATGAATGCGAGTGATTGTTTCCTCTCTTCCGTCATCGATCAAGAAGCGTCTACGTATTCCAGTCGTTGAAATGCAGACTTCTGTCATCCATCCGACTGGTCATCAATCCAAGTGGTGGTTTCTCCTCTTTCATCATTGATCAAAGGGGGCTTGTCGATATTGCATTCCTTGAAATGCCATAAAAAGTAAAGCTAGAATGTTTGGGTGATATGCGATAAGCGGCGCGTGTTATTTTATACCAGCTGATATAGCATGATGAGCCCACTTTACGCAAGCTCCAGAGGAAAGTGGAATAAGACTTGTTTCCCCTCTTCTTCTGGTGGTGTCTTCGTGTGTGTGCAGGCTTGGCAGGGGTACAGGTCAGATTGTTGCCAAGGACAAGGCAATCAAGTACACTCATCGCCAACTCCCAATTCCATCATCGGAAGCTGCTCCCAGTGAGAATGGGGTATAATGAAGGAAGGGGGAAAATAACAGAGAATGGGGTGTAGATACACCCCATGCTGAAACCGAAGGGACGGCAGTTGGCAGTGGCCTCCCTGGTCACAATCATTTATTCACGTGTGTCATCCCACTGTTGCGCCTTCGCTAAGCGTCTCTAGCTATGGTGTCTCGTCACGTCTCCAGCTATTGTGCTGCCCAAATAGCTATCTCTTCGGCAGTTGCTTGGAATGTATGCACATATATTTCCTTGACGGCTTGATTCGGTACTCTTCCCCCCCCTCCTCGCCCTTCGTCTAGCCACTGTGTCTCCTCGCAAAGAGCATGTTTGATGACCTCAGTCTGGTTCTGCTCGTCTTCTGCACCTGGCCTCCTTCTGCGCTCAAGGGGCAACCATCTGGAAGTATGGGACCACGCTTTCCCACTAAGGCCAGTATACGATATGATACCTTGCTGGCATGCGGGTAACTCGCCCACTCATCGGGATGTCAGGGTCTCTCGCCCTCTTACGATACCAATTGTTAGCTATTAGCTTGTTGTGGAATTTCTAGCGTTCTTCAGCTCACATAGGGGAAAATGGAAATGGATAAGAAGTTAAACCACCTGTACCGACCGTGTTTTCGTACCCTCCCGGATTGAATGAATATGGACGCGACGGGCAGACCGGTTCTGCTACCGCGTTAACGGCTGTAACAACCAGTAGGTACTGGTGGTTTAAGAGTAGATTGATGACATGAAAAGAGGATCTTGTCGAGGCTGCCAACACGTCGACCCCTTTCTGCTCTCGACAAGTGGTTGCACACTCGCATTCGGAGTGTTTTCGCCGCATGACTGCGGCCCTGATTGTTGATGTTAACTGCTTCCATGTAGGGATGGGTAGGATAATTTGCTGGAGGGATTCTTTGGTGGTGATCTTTTGGTGGAGTTTTTTTTTTTGAGTTTTACCCGTTGGCAGGTGTTTGACGTCCATCCATTGATGCGCCTGCGCGGCGCAGAACTCAGAGGAGATGAGTTCGCCAAGGCTTGTGTTGGGACTCGGTTGTTGCCCTTGTGCATCGCTGCAACATGAAGTTATTTTTTCTTCTTCTTTGTACGCATGAAGTTTTCCTGCCGATACTTGAAACAGCTGGCTGGAGGTCCCCGTGGCAGTTCCCCTGGTCCTTTTCGGGACTCCACATCGTTTCCCGGTTTGAAGGGACCGATTGACCCCCTCATTTTGGAGTTTTGAGGGGCCGATTCACCCATCATTTTGCGGTTGCTAGGGGGATTAATTAACCCATTGTTGTGTGGTTGGGAGGTGTCAGTTATCCCATCATTTTGCAGTTATTCTTGATGCAAGGATTAGCGCAGTCTGGAGGCGATCTCGCCAATGAGAGGCGGAGGGGTCCGGAACCCTTTTGCAAGCGATTCACAAACGAGGACGCTTGTCGGCCAAAGGGAGGAAGATGCAGCCTGCTGCGAAAGTGGCATTGCTTTTTTTTGTCCCATTTCAGTTTCCTTTCCCTTTCCTTTCAGTTCCCGCTCCTTTTTTGTCTGCTGTTTGTTTATTTCCCAACTTTTGTCGTATTTAGCACTGTTGGTAAGAGAAGAGAGAGATCGTGTGCGTCTCCAGTGGATTGCAACACAGCTTTATTAACCGGAGATTGAGGTTTCGTGAAGACTTGTAGCTGTGTGCACGAGAAGTCGCAAAGGGATGTGGACCAGCAGCTGGACCAGGAACAGAGTGTATACAAGAATATTGCACTTGGTAGGTGGTCTACACCAGATGCAGTAGTAGATGCACCAATGTGGAGTTGTAGCTGGATCAGGACTACTGGTAGTTGCTGATGGACCAACCAGGAGGTGTGGGTGGACCAACTAGGAGTTGTGACTGGACCTGGACTTACCGGCTGGACCAGCTGGACCAGCTAGGCCTTGTGGCTGGACCAGCTAGTGGAGCAGGGACTGGAGAATCCACAACTTGTGCCCAAGTGGCTGGGAGTTGTGGATGGACCAGGAATAGAGGCTGGACCAATTTCTGGGGTTGGACCAAACGATATGACAGCAGTAGGGAATTGTGTGATGGAATCGAGTGGTCCTGGTCTTGTGGGCGGGCCAGATGCGGTGGGGATGGCTTTTCTCCACCTCTGGGTGAGCTGCAGAAGACACGTTCTTCTTTGTAGATAGGTGAGAGATTCTTTAAGGACATTGATTCTAACAACAATTCGGCGATTGCGATTTGGAGTTTAGTAACCGTAGTGATCTGTTCAGTTATTTGTTTGACATTGCTGTCCCCCCCCCCCTTTTTACTTGCGAGTTTAAGTTTTCTGTTTGACACAATTATGTTTGTTTGTTTGGTGTGTTTCAGCAGGTTTGGATTGATTTTTATTATTATTATTATTATTATTTTTTTGGAAAGCTATGTTCTTCTCTCAATTTCGCCTCACGCTACCTACCTACCACTACTCCTAATTGTAGGCATACGGGGAACCCCATAGCAGCCAGAACTGTGTTCATGAGAGAACATGCGGGGGCTGCTCCCTACCTCCAGGTGGGCGATACCGGCTAGGGGACAGCCGGTAGCATCACGGACCATGCCAACAGAACCAATCCCTGTGCCTCCCCTCAGGTCCCCTCCCCTACGAACATCAGCAGACTCTCCTCGATGCCGATCGGGATTTCTCTTTGACCCTCTTTTTGTTCTTTTCTTTGGGTTTTTTTTTTTTTTTTTTTTTTTTTTTTTTTTTTTTTTTTTTTTTTTTTGTTTGTTTGTTTGTTTGTTTGTTTGTTTGTTGTTGTTGTTTTTGGTGGTGGTGGTGATGTGTGTATGTGTGTGTGTGCGCACAACGCATGGGGCAACTACTTGTCCGACCACTGAACCTCGTCATCCAAGTCAGTGAACCACGGTACCTAATCACTCGAATCCGCAAAGCACTGAGCCGAATCAGTCGAGCAATCCATAAGTGACCACATGTCAGCGTACGACTGAGGCCTGATCATTCATCGATTCCCTTCACGCACTGTTGCACGAGTACTACCCTACACGTCGCTGCACCTAATCATTCAAGTCACTGGCGTTGATCTGATCACACATCACCATGGTCTTCTTTTCCTTTTCTTTATGTTTTGGTTGGTGGTGGCGATGGCCATTGTTCCTATCATTTGTGCCCTTTTAAGCAAACGATTGTGTGGGAAATGCAGACCTAATGTAATCACGCACTCCTGTCACTGACATGGCATGAATGATTTGGTGGTCGGTCTTTTAAGTGAATGAACGTAATAGGGCAATTTGCAATGAAGGGAACAGAACGACATATTCAATTTAAAATTGTAAATTTTCACACTCGAAACACACACACACACACACACACACACACACACACACACACACACACACACAGAGCACACTTGCCGGCTTTGAGCATATTTGCTCTTATTTTAAGCACGCTTGTCGACTTTGACCATATTTGTTATTATTCTTGATACCTCTGCTTTGGTTTGAATGAATCTGAAGGAATATTCTTTTCTTTCTGCAGAGCACCTTGCCCTCCGAATTACCATCAGTATTCCCCAGCCTTATTAGCTTGAGCAGGTGGTATTGCAAGGGCAACCAATGTGACTGAAGTGGGGTTTTAAATTGGTTCTCGGTACAAACCTGTTCCTGCCAAATGATCTGAACATCTCGCGGCCATCCTGTGACCACCTGTACATGGTCCCAGCCAACTCGAGAATCACAAGTAAAGCCTCTCCTAAAATTTCAGAGCATCGGGCCAACCGGGCCAAAATGACTGGTGTTGCCAATAAAAGGAAAAAATGCCGCTCTGGCGTTTCAGCAAAACTTGGCGCACATCGCGGTTGACGGTTCATGGAGTTAGGTGTGGATGTACTGGTGGTGGAAATCGTCATAGCACAAAAACAGATATGGTTTGGTATTTCCCCTTTTTCCTTTATTGATTCTGTTTTTTATTTCTTGTTTAGCGGAAAGGAATCGTGCTCCTTTTGATAACCCCTGGAGTGCCGGACAACATTCGAGCAGGGAGTGTTCTAATGATGCTATTCGTCGCTGGGAGGAGTGGCTACAACAGGAGCTTTTCAGAAGTGTGGAAAGAAGAGCTAAGGGAGGCCAGGAAAGGAGCGACACCAAAAACAGCGACGAGAAATGCACGGCAAAGGGAAGGAGAAATCATCGATCCGTTGAAAAATTATAGAAATTAAATCGAAGGAGCTGAACAGTGGAACGGTCAAGATCGTCGAACTATTAAGGAGTGGGAAAATAAGGGAGACGAGTGATCGAAAGTTTTGGTGGTGATACTTGGGCTGGAGGCTGGTTCGAAGACTATTTGGTGGAACAAGAGTTAAATGGGGGTGGGGGACTCGGCCTTTGAAAAAATGTGAGAATTTATTTGAAGCTGGTGGATCGATCACTTTGCGACATATTATGGAGGCCTCGCCTATGAACCTGAAATTCAGGGATGACATGGTGAGTATGTTTAAATGCCCTTGGAAGGAGAGGAATTTGAGGGGATTGGGTTTGATGGATCTGCTGAAGTATTACGGAGCAGTGAAGACTTTCACGACTAAGAGAAGTCGGGGAAAGGAAAGGTTGATGATTTCACAGGCGATGAAAGACGCACACAGTCTGAGCGTTCGGAAGAGAGTAGCGGCAAGGGTTAGATTCGATGATAGGATTAAGAAGAGTGAAGTGACGAGGCTGGTAAGAAAGATTGGGAGTTTGCAGTTGGCCAAGCCAATGAAGGAAATGGTAAAGCGGCGTCCACGAGTTGTGTGGACCAAATGTGGGTAGCATCCTACACAATCATCGGCGCTTTGCGTCGAATGGTACCTCCAGCTATACGTGTGCTGGATTGGCCTATCATAAGCGGGATGGGCACGTGCATTTCCGGATTGGTGAGTTGAGCTGGATTCCGCAAATTGTGAAGAATGCAAAGAATGTACCTAGACAACAAGAGGATTTGAGGGAGTGATGAAGTGAAGGAAGCTTTCCGTATTTGGGCTAGTGAATTGGGAGTACCATGCAAAGAGATCATGGTAACACGGGAAGATGCTATGCATTGTTTTCTAAGTTTGGAAGTCAAGGACGGGCGAGGAGGAGGGTTTGACGAGGTGTTCAAAGTCAAGGAAGAGTTGAAGGGGTTGGTAGTGGTGCCGCTAGACAGGAATCCCGACGATACGCTGGTACAGTGTCTTGCCCTGTATGCGAAAGGGATGGAGGAGACCTTTTGGGGGAATGAAAGCTAGAGGGTTTGTGAAGAGGATGAAGAGAGGGAACTCATAATTGCTCTTTGTGAGTATAAAGAGAAGGGACTGGAAGTTCATGAAAAATGGAATAAAAAATTACGCTCTCCCTAAGCACAACTAGACGAGTAAGTATCGGCCTATCTGCCCGACCTTCGATGAGCCGTCGGTTAAGGCCTGTAAGAAGGTTGCACAGGCGGTTACCTGCTTGTTGTTTTCCCTTTCGGAATCTGGCCATTTTAACTTGAGGGCTGTTTCTGATATAAAATCCAGATCGATGAAGACCAACAGGAAATTTGTAAGAACAGGAAAGGGAGTTGAAGCGATTGGAGCCTCGTATGATGTCAAGGACATGTTTAACAAATTGTCGCATGAATCTATTAAAAGGGCTATTGGTTGAGTTCTGTGGTGGTTCCGTGAGTAAGGGTTTGATGCACTGTATGTTAAGAGAAGGGGGAAGGGTGCAAGGATGAGTAAGGCCATGAAGAGGGGTTTTTGAGTCGATCTCGTTCGAGTACCTGAGAGATTTTGTCTTGTTTGAATCAGATTTTTGTTTTTTTGTTACACATGGGTCGGCGGAATTTTGTTGAGGCAAATTGTGGGTATACCAATGGGGAAGAGCTTGAGCCCCCCATTGGCCTGCCTGTTGTGTGTTAAGAATGAGTGGGATTTTTTCCTGACCCTGGGAAGCCAGAAGAGGCGGTTCGACGACACGCGATTTGTCGATGATGTGTCAGTATATTTGTTGCCTTTAACTCGCAGAGAAGAGGATCGAAGGTGAGGGCCTTATCCTTGATCAAGAGGTTTGAAGATTGTTATGATAAGGTGCTTACCTTGAAAAGGACAGGTGAAGGGGAGGACGAATGGAATTTTTTGGGCTGCAAAATGAAAATTGGGAAGTCTTTTCCTTTCTGGGAACGGTGCAGCTATCGAAGAATGAGCATGATCTGAGGGAGAATCGTGATCTCACTTTCCGCACGATACAGGATTTTGGATCATGGACGTGTAAGCGGATGAAGATGATCGTGATTGTTGGGGCGTTACATCCGATTGACCAGAATTCCTATGACCGTATGGAGATAGTGAACACTGTTGTATTGCTCAGGATGGAATTGAGGAAGAGGGATTATCTTGGAGATTGGTTTGGGAGAGCGCTGAGAAGTTGTTTGAAAGGAAAGAGGCCAATTTGGAGGCTTTTTGCCTTGTTGTTGACAGATAGCAGGCTGGTTGACTGACTCGTGATGTTTGCCTTGGTTCTGTTTATTCGTGTTTTGAGTGGTGTCTGTGAGGACTGGGGAACACCCCTTGGTTGATTGAGTTAGTTATAGGATAGTTGTTGTACCATTTTTTGTTACATGGGTAATACCCAGTTCTTTCTGGAAATGTCATCGGCCTGGTCGACTGATTTTTACAAACCCATAGTACCGGGGTTTCTGGAATAGGAACTGGGTGAGAGCGTGTTTTTTGGTGCACTTTTGGTTTCGTAGGTAGATTTTGTCGATTGTGTGAGCTATATTTTCGTAGTTGACGTAGGGATAGGTCTCCTCGTCCGCAAGGACTTTGCCGCGATGGATTTTGAGTCTGCGACGTAGTATCGACAAGCTATGTCGTTTGACAATCTTTGTCTGACTTTTAGTTGCGTGCTCTTTCGTTTAAATCATCGGGCTTCATGATGACATTATTAACAGCCACATGTTAGCATGTTGTTTTCAGTAAACTGATGTGGCACTTTTGACAGCTTTGAGCTCCATGCTTTATTGCCCTTGTGCGCTATTGCATTTGAGTTGTGCTGCGACTGCTTTCTTTGCAGTATTGTTTGCTTCCTTATTTTCAGTGCCAAAAGGCGAGAAAAAACAATAAATGACAATTCTGTTTTTTCTTTTTTTTTTTTTTCTTTTTTTTTTTTCTTTTTTTTTTTTTTGCTCAATTTCACCTTTCTCTACCGACCTCCCACTACTCCTAAGCCTATACAGGGGACTCCTGCAAGC